CCGACTTGTGACAAACTGGATCATCAATAAATATTATCTCAACCTCTTCTGATGGTTCGGCTCGTTCAAGTTTGCTTTTCTCCTTAAATTGAACTCGTGGGTCTAATACATCTTCTTCTCTGATTGGCTCTTTTCCCGGACGTCTTCCATGATCACAAATCAGATCGTTGTTTGATTTCACAAGATCGAGTTCCATCTCGGTGTTGTAGGATTCCGAGTTAATGAGTGTTGAATTTTCTTGACTTTCTTCGATATTCTCCATCATATGTACAGGTATACAGGGTTCATGCCAGGGTTTTACCCATACCATTCCACGAGCTTCGTACTGGTCTCCATAATGAGTTCCTTCTCCATTATTAGTAGGAAATTTTAGAGCATAATGGAATATTGATACAGCTGCACGAAGCTTGTACAAAGCAGTCCGTCCAATGATGGCATTATATTGATTTTTAAGATCCATCACCTTGAATGTTTCCATAATAACTTTGGAGGCCTGTCCTGGGATTCCGAACCGAATTGGCATAGTGATTTCGCCAAGGGTTGTCGTTATAGTTCCGTTAAAGCCTTGAACTTGATCTTTACAGGGTTTTAGCTCGGCCGGATCGATTCCCATTTGTTCAAATGTACGCAACATCATAATGCTTGAATATGCGCCAGTGTCCACCAACATACGATGTATCGGTATTCCACAGATGGGTGCCGTGATTATCAAGGGATCAGCATGAGGGTGAGCAAAATAGCTTGCATCGTCGACATTGAATGTGATCGGGCAATTGTTCCGAGCATTAATTTTATCTCGGAGGTCAGTAGTTAAAACTGTTTTTCCCGAGTTAAAAGCTTTTCGTGCGTACGCTTTTATTTGTCTCCGTGATTCCGACATTGCATTACTGCTGTTATTAACCCGGGGGACATGGTGTGAGTTGTCAGGATTACAGTATCCTCCTCGATACATCATTTCAGTCGAGTCTTTTTCTCGTTGATTCGTCATATATATTTCTCTCTCATTTGATCTCACCCGTTTTGGATTAATCGGATGCTCTTCATCGTCTTCATCGTCTGGTAAATCAGGCATTCTTCCTTTTCGTTTGTAATCAACATTCTTGGCAAATCTTTGGACTTGGGGATGTCCAATAAGTCGCAATAGGGCAGAAAGTAGACCGAGACATTCATCGGTATTATGGCCCGCCGACTTATGATATGAACAATATCTCGTTTTGTCAAGTTTTTCCTCGGGTGTTCTGACAGGTCGAGGATCAGGAAGAATTCCCTTCCCTTTTAATTCCTCGAATATTGTTGCTGCTCCTGCCGAAAATACTGTCTGGTAACTGGATTTAACTTCATTAAGATATCTAGTTCTTGCTTCTTGGACTTCGGGTATTTTTGGATTTCCGAATCGAGATTTATTTGGCTTGAAAAATTTCTTCTTCTTTTTTGATTCTTGCCCGACATCCGACTTCAACGAGGAAAAGTCGATGTTAGGAACCGACATTGATTCTTCAGCCAAAATATGCTGTTGAGCTCGAGCTAGAAAATCTTGAAATGAAGTCGGTTTGTTTTGGCATATACTCCATCGGAACAACGAATTTGGCTTCAACCCGGCTATAGCTGTGACCAATAGTGTTTCGGGATGGCATTGCTCCATATTTTGTATGCGCTCGTTGAACCGAGTAATGTAGTCTTTCACACTCTCATCATCTTTTTGTACAATATTTGCGATTGACTCCTTGGGAATTAAAGACACCCGGGCCCCGATAAAATGAGAGCGAAAAACTGTTCTCAACTGCTGCCATGTGGAAATTGAATACCGAGGTAGAGAATGATACCATTTTTGAGCTCGTGGCCCCAAAGTTAAGGAAAACATCCGACATCTGAGTGCTTCATTCGCTCCATGAAGATCCATCCAAGACGTGTACTGACCGAGATGGGCATCAGGATCAGAAGTTCCATCATATAAGCCGATTTGCGGAACTTTCACTTTAGTTGGGATTGGTTCTCTAGTCAGGTGAGGAGCTAAAGGAGTTCCAACCTCTTGATATGTCTCTTCCATCACTGGAGTTCGTCGTGGCGATTCTCCATGTTCACCTTGACAAGTCTCCAGCTCAGCAATTCTTTTTCTCAATATTTCTAACTCTTCTGATTCGCGTCTTTGACGATTTCTTTCAATCAAACGACGTAATTCATTCTGCCCACGACGAGCATGAGTTTGTTCAAGAGTGTGTCGTAAATCAGAAGGTTGATCATGTCGTGATAGTTCTGGTAGCGACGGAGTAGGCTGTCGTGGTCGATGTCCAGAGTGGCTTTCTGCAGTCGCTTCTGATCGCGCTGGTTCTGGAACTCGAGTTTGTACCGGAACTACGCCACGATTTTGAGTTGTTGCATCATGTTGCGATTCATGTGCATGTGGATGAGATGTTGCATGTGATATTGCAGGAATATTATTTCTTCGTGGAACTGGAGTTGAGCGAGTTTGAGGATTAACCGCTGTGGTTGATTCTATTCTTGTTCGCGCCATAAAATCAGTCAAGTTTTTCAAGAACTCTGGATCTTGAAATAGAGCTGAATAATCAATTGATGTAGATGGCACGGCAGAAGTTCCGGTCGTATGAGTTGGATGACGAGTGATCCCTGGGTCAGGATTTCGTTCATTTCGCCCAGAATTCGACATCCTTTGGGTGTTGTTTACAAGACAATCGATTGACAAGGAAGGGCCCTTCCTCTAGCGCCAAACTGTTGCTGTCTTGAATTAGCAACTTAAAATTAAACACAGTTGATGTTTCAAAGATGAAGATAAAAGTTTAATTCGATTTTATTGATTATGTTCACAAGAGTACAGAAGTCGGTTTTTAGCTGAAAACCGAGGTTGTCTTAAGTTCGTGTACAATGTGATCGAAAAAGATCCTCGTACTATCATAAATTCTGCTATTTATAGTACGGTGGCTTTTGTCCTCTTCCTCGAAATGGATAGAGATGCATTTAATATTGAGCTGCTTTGTTTTGAGGCGGCGGGAAACATCAATGATTGCCTTTTTGTCTTGTTGGTCCAATCAGATGCTTCTAATGATTACTTTCTGTTTGGAATGCTCAAACTTTGTGATAGTCGGTTGACTTGATGTCGGTTTACTTTCGTCGGCTTCGGATGTCGGTTCCAATCCTTTTTTGAGTGTCGAAGTTTGAATCTTTCGGGAATCGGTAATTCTTAAGAAGTCGGTAATTTGCTACAATACATTCCGACTTTTAGTACCTTAACCCTGATTACTGGATTTGATATCAACATCATGTTTAAAAAAAAAAATGGAATGAAAGGTTAAAGATTTAAAAAAAAATTAAGCTTTACTTAAAGTTGTCGATACTTACCCTTAGTTTATCTTATAACTAACATGGTATGGAAGGTTAAATAATTATTACTTTAATATAAAACTGTATTATATTTTGTTTGAATTTAAATTTTCAATGTTAGTTGAATTTAGTCTTAACTAAATTTAGGGTTACTTCTAAAGTTGATTTAAAAATAAAATCATTAGTATGATGAAGTATTGATGAATGTTGGATTTAAAAAAAACATATAAAAAATAAAATATAACTAGGTGGTCATTAAAAAAAATTTAAAAAATGATAAAATATCTCCGAATATCCGAACCGAACCAAACCGAGCCGAACCGTTTCGATAGTCCCGAAAACCGAACCGAACCGAACCGAAAAATAAAAATCTCCGAACCGGATCGAACCGATTTTTTGGTACGGTTCTGGAGATCGAATTTTAGTGATCTTCGAACTTCGGTTCGGTTCTGGAGATTTATCAATCTCTGCACCGTACCGACCCATGCTCACCCCTAGTGCTAGCCTTACTGGTGACATAGACCAAACCTTTATCTTCCTACTCCAATACCATAGTATGAAATGTTCTAAAGAATATGATCTTTCTCTCTCTTATTTTTTTCCTTTCCTTTTCTTTGATGAACATTTTTTCTTTATTCACTAGCAATTTTCCATTCTAAAAACAGTGGTAATTTCAATGCAGAAGTCATGCACTATGAGAGCATCTCCAATGCTATAAGTGTGAAAGACCATTATTTTTAACACATGTCAATTAGTGATTGTAATGTTAATCCATATTGGAATAATGTTAAAAGACTAAAAATTTCAATGAAACTAGTATCTCCAATAAATCAATTTGATAAGAAGTTATTTGTATAGGTGGACCAATTAAATAATTAATTGATATAAAAAAAATAAAAAATTAAAACAAATATAAAGTAAATTGATGAGTCATCATGTTTAACATGGTGTTAGATATTAGAAAGTGTGCTCAACATTGTCAATATTAAATGACATCCACCTCATCATGAAAGAGTTCATGACAAGATGCATTGGAGAAAAAAAAAGAGACACACTTTCAAAAGTTGATGATATGGATGACTTTTTATAATGTCAAAAGTTGCATTGGAGATGATCTGATATTGAACATTTAAAGAAGTCTTTTGAGGTGTGTTTGTTTATCTTGGATGTTTAATTTTAGGGAGGGTGTTTAGCCTTGAAGGCTGGGTGGAGGAATATCTTTGTATTACCAGTGAACTTAACCAGTTGGTCAGCGATTGCACATTTTAGAGTTTGTTGCTTGAATTTATGTATTTCAGGAAAAAAATAAAAAATAAAAATTAAAACACGATTTTTTTAGTAATTATTTTACAATTAGGCAGTTGCGCTAAGTAAAGGGCCCATAGAGATGTCCAACAAGTCGGCTTCCTTTTACAACATTTTCAAAACAAAACAATGGAAGTCTGCTGCAACCATTCAACTATTACCAGCAATCAACATTTCACAATAGTAAAATTTATTATTTGAGTTAATTCTTTGAAATTTTTAAGAATTCCAACTCTCTAGAGATCTTTTACTTTATCATAACACACACATCCATAAATAAATCCATAAATAAATAGAAGTGTGAGAGGAGAAATTTGCACATGTGTGTTAGTCATATATGTAAGCCCCACCTGGCACCCATTTTTCCAGGTGCTGACTCATCTGTTTCCCTTTGCCTACCATTATTATTTAATTTTCTCCCCCCTTTTCTCTTAATTATTTTCCTCTGCCCCAAAATCCTTAATAAAAAATTTCACAAAACCCATTTTTTTTTCGAAGTCCAAATTCACATAATTCCTGGATTTCCCATTTTCAATCGCCCTTTCTTAGCAAACATTTTCTTGAGATTTTATAAGTTGTTAGGAGTCGAAATTTTGAGGAAAAATTTGAGAGATTTCTTATTTTATGTTTGCGTTTAGAGGCAGACTAAAAGTGGGTAGCTTTAAAGATTGTTTTTTTTTTCCTTAGTTTTTAAAGCGAAGTTTGCTTTTGGAGTTCTTTTTCTTCAACTGCGGGGTTGATTTTCCGTATAAATATAGTAATTTCTGATAGTTTTGGAGTCATCTGCACAACTGTGAATGAGATTCCAAAGCTAGACAAATATTCATAGAGATTGAGTAATTGGGAAAGTGAGAATGGTGAGCGGGAATTTGTTTCATAATAGAAAAAATTCATGGCCTCCGGAAGAGTATATCAATCGGACGACTTTACAGTTGGTAAGATTTTATTTTGGGGTTTTTCCCTCTGGTTCCTTTTGCTTAGCTATAATTTACGATTTTTTTTTTTAATTTTTTTTGAAGTTGATTCATTTTTTTGGCTTAATTTGTTCAATGTTCATTTAGATTATTCTAGTAGAAAATTTGAGCTGTAACAAATGCTATGAGGCGAATTCTCTGCCAGTTATTATTTCCTTTGCTTTATTTCGTATTTTGTGATAGATTACGGTGTGGTGAAGTTTTGTATGAGATAAGACAGAGCCCATCAAGAAACTTATGTACTAATGGTTGAGGATTTGATAGCAAGTAGAATGCTGGGAGTGTTTTGAAACTCTAATATAGGCGTTTAATGGAAATCAGAGCCAGCAGGATATTTATGCCCTATCATGGAAGAATAAATGAGTGGAGATGACATTTGGCTAGAACTTATTGATGATTTTTTTTTTTGTTTTGTTTTGTTTTTATTTTCTCATTTAAATTTTACAAACATAACATCTTGGATGCAAGTGCATAAAAAAGATTCGATTTTTGTCTCTACACTTTTTTGCACTTGTGTTGAAATATGTCACTGTTGACTTCTACCTCCCACCCTGATTAAGTAGCGGATTGGAGTGCTCATTTTTTTACACACTTTATCATGATTGTGTCCATTCTCAATGCTTTGAACAGTTGCTGATATTATTCACCCATTTTATTCCTGTCAACAGTTAGATTTCGACAGTGCAGCCCCGCCTGAGCAAGCATTGAGACGGAAACTAAATAGCCATGCTAGCATTCTTAAAGAATTCAGTATTACATTCACAGAAGCCATAAAAATGGTAAATTAATACTTTAATGGCACCCGCCAATAAAAGTAGTTGTATGTTTTGTGACGCACTTGTTGATGATTATAGATTTCACTCGGAATACGCCTCTGGCATTACGTGCGTGAAGAGGCATCCTATGGAAGGGTATGATTTTGCCGTTTCTTTCCAACGTTGTGTTACATAACTTAATTATTTCAATATAAAAAGAACATAAAAAAGAGAATCATTGTATGTATTGGGATATTGAGCAGCTCTTGCTTTATTCTATTTTCTCTCCTTCTACAGAAAGCACCTATAAATCCATTTACTCGGGAAAGTTGCAAACCTTCGGCATCGCAAGGGGTCCCACTAGGTGGGATGGGGTAAGTATTATTCAATATGATGAATTTCGTGTACCTCCATTGGTGTTATAATTGATCGTTCTACGTGTTATGCACATTACAGGAGTGGTAGCATATCTAGAGGTTTCAGAGGGGAGTTTAGGCATTTTCAAATACTTCCTGGTACATGCGAGACGTCTCCAATGATGGCCAACCAATTCTCAGTAAACCCTTCTCTTGAAACTTATCATTTATCTACATGCTTTTATCAGCTGAATTCTTAGAGATATTTTGCATTTATTATTTTCAAATGTAAGTTGTTCATTTGGTGAAACAATGTTCATCGGACTGCAGTTTGGGTTGTAAGGGTTATGTTCCTAATCAAGCAGAATTTAATCAGTTTTGTTATTAGATAATTTTTTTCTAGAAACTTCACTAATAGAAGAAACACTAGAATTTAATTGAGCCATTTTGATCTAGTCCATTATTAGCACTATGCCAATAGAATTGTCAACAATGACTCTTCCAGCTCCATTTGCAATGGACAATAAAAAATATATATATATATATATATATATCCAACGGCGCAATGCATCTTGGGTCGCTATGGAAACAGCCTCCTTGTATAATTACAAGGGTAAGGTCTGCGTACAACTGACCCCCCAGACCCCAACCTGTTGGGAATATACTGGGTATGTTGTTATTGTTGTTATTAGATAATTTTTCTTGCTTTTCCCTTTTTCTTTCTTTTTTTCTTGTCTTTTTTTGTTTCTTTTTCGGATTTTGCCTGCACAAGATTTCTGAAGAAGCTACACTTATAATAATAAGTTGTTTCAAATTGGTTAATGAACTAAACTTCTGTTTGTGCATCAATTCTGGTATCCTGTAATTTAGTGTATAATTTATAATCTAAAAATATGATACATAACAGCTAAATAAACCACACAGTAAGTTTTGCAAGCTGAAATGAAAGGTTAAAGACCTATGTGAATACTGTCACTCTGTAGCAGTGGAAATCATTCTAGTTTGATTCCAATCCAATGCATCAAGAATTGACTTGGATGGTTTCGAATGGTGAACCCCCAGGATGAATGCCTTGCTTCACTCTTTATATCCGGTAAAATTTAAGAAAATACGGCCATGGTATCTAATGTTTGTCGATCCTCCCACAAATGTTATGGATGAATTCTTTGTGTTCCATATTCTTTATCCGAACTCCTTTCTGGGTGAGGCATTGAGGAGAGGAGTGGCACTGCTCTTTATCTTAGTCCTAACAGCATATTATGATGCATAAAATCAAACATTCTGTGACAGTGTTATTCCAAAAGACACACCTAGATAGTATGTGATTCTCGTGCGTATAAGTAAAATCATTTTGCTCTCGAAATATCTAATTTTGAAATTCTGCACACATTTTTGCATTAGCAATTCAGTTAATATTAGTAACTGGAAACAGGAAAAGAGAATTGTATGTAAAGTTGTGGTTTGACGTCTGAATATCAGTCTGGACCCTAGTATGGAAATCAATGCGAAAACTTTTCTCGTAAAGCAGCCTGATCAATATATTGGTGAAGCAGAGCCAAGTGTTCAGTCCTCCAATAATTCAAACTAACAGAGTTATAAATTTATTTCTGATTGATGTCACCGGAACAAATCTCCTGACAACTAATTATGAGGTGGTCTTCCAACAAGTAATTGTATTTTTGAAGATAATTGAATGTATCTTTTTAACACCGTTTTACGAGAGTAAATCAGGTTGGTTTTAGCATTTGCTGCCACATCTCTGAAAGAAATGTGAAGTAAGTAACAAACCCCCCCAAAATATTAATACTTACGATTCAATTTATTTTGTTAGAAGTTATGTTTGTCCTACATTGATTAGTTATTGGGTTGTTATTGTGTAAAAGTGTGGGTTGGGCACCCTCTCCCTTTGAGCTAGCTTTTGGGGATGAGTTCTGCCCAAGTCCATTTATAAAGTTTATATGGAGAAAAGCAATGTAATATGAACATGCCTGTGCTTACAGTGCATTATTACATATGTTGTCATAACTTTTTTGAGATCTGCAGATTTTCATATCCCGAGAAGGAGGAAGCAAAAAATATGCATCCGTTCTAGCTCCAGGCCAGCATGAAGGTGTAGGGTATGGACCTACACAGTTTAATTCTTTCCTGAACTTCTCGCATATCATATCCATATGAAATTTTGAATTGCTTTTAACCTTTTGGGGACCTTGAGTTGCTATGTAATTTTTTTATTTTTTTTTTGGTGCTCTTATTGTTTTCCCTTTTCTTCTTTCCTTCCTATGATGATGTATAGGGAGAAAGGAATGAGCTGAGTCTTGGATCATATAGATTTTTTAACTAATGCTAAATAAGATGCATGTATGTGTACTTGAACTAATAACTAGTGACAAGCATTGGACTTCATCTGTTTCCAAACACTGGACGTATGAGAATTAACATTTCATCTGTTTTCTTCTTGACTTACAAATTTGTGACACTAATAATTGAAAATTAATTGTCTTTATCTGATTTTAATCTTTTCGACAGGAAGTCCAGTGATCATGGTATATCATCATGGGGATGGAATTTGACTGGTCAACATTCCACGTATCATGCTCTATTTCCACGGGCATGGACAATATATGATGGTAATAGCTGTTAAAACTGTTGTTTCTATTAGGGTTTTAGATAGACAATGTCCCTTAAAGCTTTTTTATTTGTACAGGTGAACCAGACCCAGAATTGAAGATCTCTTGTCGACAGATATCTCCATTTATACCACATAATTACCGAGAGAGCAGTCTTCCTACTGCTGTATTTGTTTACACTGTATGTAGATCTGATGTCATTGCATGCTCTTTTCTTAGTTGTTCATCATTTTCGTCCTGCTGAGTTAACTCTTAATCTCTCTCTCTCTCTCTCTCTCTCTATATATATATATATATATATATAATTTAGCATGGATTACTGGGAAATGAGCGTCCTTTTTTAATATTTTTAATATCTATTTATTTAGCTCTTGCACAATTAATGCAGCAGTGATGGTACAACTACTTGAACTGTGGGGATAGTATCACATTGGTGTCTCCTGAATAGGAGTGGAGCATTATTTGAGACACCTGTCTTTCTAAACCTGCCTTTCCAATTAACCTTCTTGATTCTATTGATGCCAGCTTGACATCAGTTTTATACCAAAATTAGTGCAGAATTTTTGTGATGACTATTAACTGTGAGAAACTGCTGTTTGCATCTCCAGTGTCACCCAGAATTAGTTTATTGACTATCAAATAACCACTGTGGAATATGACTAGCCATTTCTTGATATGATTGTTAATTTTCTTCTGTAGTTGGTGAATACTGGAAAAGATAGGGCAAAGGTCAGCCTGCTTTTTACTTGGGCGGTGAGTCTTTTCTGGTGACAATTATATTAAATATAGTAATAATATGCAACGGAGCGTGAGTCAGCAGTCTTTTATTTGTTGCAGAATTCTATTGGAGGTGTCTCACATTTATCAGGAGAACACGTAAACGAACCGTTTATGTGAGTATATTGTACAATCTGATGTTTTATCTTATTACATTAGAACTCGTTTTTATCTTAACATTTGTGTTTCCTTTCGCCTGCTCTTTCAACATTTTTGTAGTGGTGAAGATGGAGTATCAGGAGTGCTGCTACATCACAAGCAAGTCATCAATACTTTCTAGTAAAATATGACGGTTGGTTTGCATGTTTTTTTTTTCTTTAGTCTGGTTTTATGGGCTGGAAATTGTAAACTTGAGCCTACGAACGATTCTTTCCTCGTGGAAGTAAATTTCAAGAATTTATCTGGAATATTCGAATATATTCTTAGCTTGAAAAAAGTATGTTGGCATGTTGTTAGATTATTTTAATAGTTGAAAATCCAGCATAAATGTGCCATATGGACTTCAACCTAATCGCATCGTCTTCATTGGCTGTGTGGCCCATAAGTTTCAAATTGGCCATGTTCGATTAATCGTCCTCTGGAAATAGTTGTCCTATCCCTTTTGTAACCGTAGTGCTATGAGGTACTTAATTTTTTTTGTAGCGTTATGTATCTGGTCTTTGTTCCTATTTGTTCACAACAACAACAACATGCCCAGTATATTCCCAACAGGTTGGGGTCTAGGGATCAGTTGTACGCAGACCTTACCCTTATAATTATACAAGGAGGTTGTTTCCGTAGTGACCCAAGGTGCATTGCGCCGTTTGATATATTTTTTTTTCTAGAAATTTCACTAATAGAAGAAGCACTAGAAAGCCATTTTGATCTAGTCCATTATTAGCACTATGCCAGGAGAATTGTCAACAGCTCCATTTGCAATGGACAACTCTTTGTTCCTATGTGTTCATCGTGCCAAAAAGTGGGCACTAGATTTAAAAAATTAGTGTGATATGGTGAATGGCCTCTACTAAGAAATTCCTTTGTCATGCTCGAAAATGATTGCTAGATATTGACTATATCTAGTCTTTACACTTCATAAAGATTAAAAGTTCTGTGTGGAGAAATATCATCACTCGATCGAGACATGCAAACTATCTAGGATTTGTGAGTTCTTCATTGGAGTAATGAGTTTGATTGTTAATTTTTTTCTTCCTGGTTAATTGTTGTTCTTTGTATTGCACACAATGGGTCATTCCATTTAAATGGTTTCTGACCGTTTCTACTAGAGCATAGTTATCGACCAAATTTGTGCATGATATTCATGAAGTGTGTAATTTTAATTACTTTAGGTTTAGGTCAATATGTGGCATTAGTTTTTCAATGACATCGATCATTTGCAGGACTGCAAAAGACAACCCTCCTGTGACTTATGCAATTGCTGCATGTGAAACTCAGAATGTGAACGTAACGGTTTTGCCTTGCTTTGGCCTGAATGAAGGAAGCTGTGTAACTGCAAAAGATATGTGGGGTAAAATGGTGCAGGTGAAGATCAATGTCTGCATGAATTCGTCATTCAGTATCCAGCTTAAATTCTGGTTTTATTTCTTAAGTTTCTTATTTAATGCTTTCGCTAACTAATTATTGTGAATGTATAGGATGGGCATTTTGACCGGGAGAACTTCAACAAGGGACCTAGCATGCCTTCATCACCTGGTGACACACATTGTGCAGCAGTTTCTGCTTCGGCATGGGTTGAACCTCATGGAAAGTGCACTGTTGCATTTGCTGTCTCTTGGTCATCCCCTAAAGTTAAATTTTGCAAGGGGAAGTCATATCACAGGTAGTTAGTTTATGACTTTTCAGCTTTCTGATATTTACATCTCTTATGGTCCCGTTTAACCATTTTTAGTTAGTTTTATTTAACATGCATGCTTGTCTATATATGTCTAGAAGTATGTCGCGTTTCTGTATTCGGTTAGATATGCTGAACTGGTTTGGTTTTTCAGTTTGCTATTCTGGTATATTTTGAAGCTATTATCAATAAACCGCAGGGACTTGGAAATAAAAAATGGAGTTCTCTTTTTTATTTGTTATCTGATTTTTGCTCATTCAGAAAGCCTGATATGTAATACAATTTTGAGTTTTTTCACCATCTTTCTTTTCCTCTTTCTATTTTAATCATGGAGATTGAAATTTTGTGTTAATAAACCTCACTTACCAAGTCTTTTTTCTTCCATTCTTTTTACCCATTGGGAACTCAGGAGGTACACTAAATACTATGGAACTTCTGAGATGGCGGCAAAGGAATTGGTGCATGATTCACTTACCAGTGAGTGATTTTTCCGCTTACTGTTTTTCACATTCTCGCATGTACTATCCTAACGTTCTTGGATGGTGGTATATTTTCAATAATCGTTCACTTTCTTGGAGATCATCAAAGCTGCTATTTGATGAGATGCCTTAATTAATAAATGTGTTTGCATCTGTATCAGATTATAAGTTTTGGGAGGAAGAGATTGAAAAATGGCAGAACCCTATTCTTAAAGATGATCTACTGCCCGAATGGTAAGCAACATTGAACTCTGTCCGTTCTATCACACCCATTTAGATTTAGCAAATTGAGATGCTATTATGATATTGCAAGTCTGTTTTCAGTCTTCACGTGCAAAGGATCTTGTCATCTTCCTAGTATATGCTTCGTATCATAATTTCGCATAGAAAATATACAGTTTTTTTTTTTTTTTTTAATTACAAAGCTTTTAACAACGAGAAAATTATCCTCCTGGGTTGTTGTTTGATCTCAAGTAGAATGCTCAAATCCATGTTGACATGCAGGTACAAATTTACCCTGTTCAATGAGCTCTACTTTCTAGTGGCAGGGGGAACAGTTTGGATAGGTAGTGTACTTATTTACCTTTAACTTCTCTTTTCTATTTTTTGTTTCTGTCAGGATAAAAGTCAAGATTTGTTTGAAATAAACACGTGTTTGTAGTAGAATCAGCTTTGTGCTTTTGCTTCCAAGACGCGGTTAATTCCTTGAATTCCTAAGCTATTGAATCTATATTTCTTTGTCGATCTCTAGATTGCATTTACTTTTTTAATTGTTCTTTTGTTTCATTATTTTGGTTATTTGATCTCACTTGCCTTTGAATAACTGGGCCTCTGTGTGTGGTCTCTTTTATTTTGGAGCATATATGGAACCATTTCTGTTATATTATGTGCAAGCAAGACTACTCTCACTAATGATGAAATATGGATTGGTATAGTGCAGTACTGAAAAACAATATGCAAAAAGATTTTTACTATATTCTCGACTTTAAGATGATTTCTGTGATTTTTAAGATTTTAACGTTGCAAGTGTTAGTAGATTTTGATTTAATTTTACGTTGAAACCTATGCTCTGAATGTTGATGCAATTATTTTTGGTGTATCTACTGACAAATACCTCATTAGTCATATCCTTAAACTGTTGCACGACCGTGATTATAATAATGTACTCTTGGTAATTTTATTCAGAATCCGCAGCACCAGCCGAAGACTCGAATGGTATCACGTCAATAATTACAGACAACAAAATATCTGAAAAAAATGAAGCAGGAATAGTCCACAGATCATCTATGACCGTAAAAGATGACACAATCAATGGCGCATATTATTCTTGTGGAAGCTTTTCGGACAAAGAAGATCATGCGAGTACTCAGAACGACGACAATGATGTAGGCAGGTTCTTGTACTTAGAGGGCGTGGAATACATCATGTGGTGCACATATGACGTACATTTTTACGCATCATTTGCACTTCTTCAACTGTTCCCGAAAATCGAGCTCAGCATCCAGCGTGAATTTGCAAAGGCCGTATTGTCAGAGGACACCCGAAAAGTAAAATTTCTAGCCGAAGGCAACTGTGGAATCCGCAAGGTGAAGGGAGCCGTACCTCATGACCTCGGAACTCATGATCCGTGGCACGAGATGAATGCATACAACATACACGATACCAGCCGCTGGAAGGATCTCAACCCAAAATTCGTCCTGCAGGTAAAAAAATAATAAAAAAAAAAAATCCGGATGAGTAATGAGTTCGTTTAAAACTACTTTCTATTTTAGAGAGTTTTGCTATAGAACCACCTGTTGGCTAGTAGAGAATGCCATATTTTATAATCAAATAAAAAAATACAATCAACAACTTGATAAGAATATCAAATATAACAATATTGAAAAAGTAAAAGTAATTATATTTTTTTATTTGAATGAAAAAATAAATACTACAAAATATTTGTAATATTATTTAAATCATTGAAAACTTCTTTGAATCATTTTAGTTAAACATTAGAATTAATAATAATATGTACAACTAAGTAGTTTATATAATTTGAAAAAATAGTACAAACTTTTTGTAGTATTTTTTTAAAAAAAAATTAATAAAAATATAAATGCTTTTATTTTTACTGTGGTTGAGTTGTTATTAATTGTATTTTCTTATTAAGTACTACCTCCTTTTTTTTATAAATGTCATTTTGGCTTTATCAACAATTGTTTAAATAAATGACGTTTTGGATTTTTTGTACATATTTTTCCATTATTACCCTTATCTAGCTAATAAATACACTATGTCCTTTCATATTCACTCTTTATATTTTTTCAAAATATCCATCTCTATCCTCATTAATGAGGGTTATTATTGGCAAAAAAATTATTCTTAATTAGTGTGCAATTTCTCAAAACGACATCTATTAAAAAAAGGAGGGAGTAGTTGTTAACTAGAAATAATAGTTTTCTTATTGAGTAGTTGTTAATTGTGTTTTATATTAATTAGAAAATATATTATTTTTTACTTGCTATGTAAAGGAATTTGGCTCCACTATCTGTTGGAGAACTCCTATTTTAGATGACAATTAAGATGGTATCATGTATTTGCAAATCAAAACTTTTAGGTTTATCGAGATTTTGCGGCTACCGGCGATTATTCGTTCGGGGCGGAGGTTTGGCCGTCAGTCCGCGCGGCCATAGAGTACATGGAGCAGTTTGACCGTGACAATGACGGAATGATCGAAAACGACGGGTTTCCCGACCAAACTTACGACACGTGGACTGTCCACGGCACAAGTGCATACTGTGGAACCCTTTGGCTAGCAGCCCTCCAGGCAGCTGCCACGATGGGCTTCCAGCTGGGTGACGAGGCGTTTGCGGACAAATGCAGGGGCAAATTCGTAAAAGCAAAGGCGGTTTTGGAGGAGAAGCTTTGGAATGGGTCGTATTTCAACTATGACAGCGGGTCGAGCGGCAACAGCAAGTCGATCCAGGCGGACCAGCTGGCGGGGCAGTGGTACGTGGCGGCCTCGGGTCTGCCTGATCTTTTTTCCGAGCACAAGATAAGGAGTGCTTTGAACAAGGTTTATGAATTTAATGTGATGAAGGTGAGAGGGGGAAGGATGGGGGCCGTGAACGGGATGCACCCGAACGGGAAGGTGGACGAGACGTGCATGCAGTCGAGGGAGATATGGACAGGTAGGCTTGTAAACAAAGCAATTTTTTTTTTTATTCGATTCAAGAGTCGAATTCGATATTCGTCATTCGAATTTGAATATTCGAATACGAATAATTTTCAAACGAATTTGAATTCGAATTTATCAAATATTCGATATGTTAATGATAATTATATAAATTCTATAAATTATAAATAGTATATATTTTGTTTATAATACATATATATATGTATGTATATATTCCTAATACTTTTATGACATAAAAAGAAAAAAAAAATCCTAAATTAACAATTTACCTAAAACCATCTCAAATTGGATAGGAAAACATAAACGATATTTTTCATAATTAATTTTTTTTAATTATAATATTTTTCTGAAAACGAATATTCTGAACGAATCGAATATGAATCAAAAAATTGAGTTTGTTTACAAATCGAATACGAATCGAATCTTCGAATACTTTAACGAATCCGAATCGAATATCTTAGTGTTCGCTTTCATTCGATTCGTTTACAACCCTATGGACAGGTGTCACTTACGGGGCAGCCGCAGCTATGATTCATGCCGGGATGAGAGAACAGGGTTTTGCGACGGCGCAAGGGATATTTATTGCGGGATGGTCTGAGGAAGGATTTGGATATGCGTTTCAAACTCCCGAAGGATGGACAATGGACGGACATTTTCGGTCGCTTATATATATGCGGCCACTTGCTATATGGGGTATGCAGTGGGCTTTATCATCCCCTGAAAAAACACTTGTTCAGCCTCCCAATATTAACGTGATGGACAGGACAGCTGTATCATATTCATCTCCCAACACTCCGAATCACGTTAACAAGAAGATAGCAAACAAGACAAAAAGGTGCTTTGGCAACCCAGTTTTCCACTGTTCCTGCTAATGCTAATCCCACTGTATGTATTCATTCATTGAATAAGTTTGTCACGGGATATTTTAGAGATCCGAGGTGTAGAGTATGATTAAGATTAGTATAGAGAGAAAATCTCTTCGATCAAGTAACGACTTCTATGACCCAGACTCGGGACAAGAGAAAGACAATAGGTTCCATGTTTGCATTATCCGTGTACGTACGTTGACATCTCTGTATTTATTTGAAGAAAGTTTTAAGTAGTAATAACAATTTTTCTCTCCCAAAGCATTTTGGCTATATTTAGAAATTTTCTTCTATGTATTTATTTATTTTTAATTTTCCATTTCATTTATTTTCTGCTATTTGTAATACTGCAATTGGTCATGGACTCACGGTTAGTGCAATATTTAGCGGGAAAATTGTAATATCTGCTTCTGTTGTCAATGTCTGGTGCAATTTCTCTAATATCTTGTACTTTTTCTTTACTAGTAGTAAGTGCACGGTTCGTATATTTGGTTATTTTAAATTATATCATATATATGGTTATACAATTTGTTTATTTATTATTATTTTTTTTTTGCATTATTATTTTTAATTAATCAAACTAGACAAGTACATTAATATTGAATTGCCTAATGTATTAAAAATTGAAAATAGTTTTAAATAATATGCAAAATATTGAGGAATTTGCATCCTATACCAACCATTATTATTTATATTGCACATATATATCTAATATATATTTACTTGCAAATCTATCTATCAAATTCACCATAATTATTTTCACATAACCAGTTTTTAATTCCAACCATTATTCTTTATATTGCACATATAAATCCAATATATATTTACTTGCAAATCTACCAAATTCACCATAATTATTTTCACATATACCAATTTTTAATTGTAAATGTACTAACAATTATTTTTTATAAGTTTATGTTAAGTTCATTTTCAATTTATAACAGTGCTTGTATCATCAGATCTCCCAATGAGTACGAATATTCGGTTCATATTCCAAACATAAACGTATAGTAAACGTAAAATAAACATCGAGAGAGGCGGCGAACAATCTGGGTCAAAATCGGGTACGGATATTCGGTTCATATACCAAACATTAACGTATAATGAACGTAAACGTATAATAAACGAAAATAAACATCGAGAGAGACGACGGTTCATATACCAAACATAAACGTAAAATAAAAATCAAGAGAGGCGGCGGCTGATCTGGGACAATCTCAAGTCTGATTGTTCAACTTTGTCCTTGCGCATCTACAACAACTGAAATTTACAACTCACAACTTACAGATGAGAACAATCCCTAGAACAACCGATACTTATAAACCCTCCTCGTCAGCGACCAAATTGTCGGTTCTCCTCACGGCGACGTTAACCAGCACCACCGCGACCCAGACGAGCAACGCCCCGAGGACGTTGGCGGTGGCGCGCGTCAACAACAGGATGAACACCGTTGCAACAACGAGCGCGACCAGGAGATTTCAGAGATTTTGGATAAAAAGGGTGGGCCAAGGAAGGAGAATGAGATCTGAGATAACAGAGAGGCTCGGTGGCGGCAGCGATAGAGGAGAAAGATGAGAGAATTGTGGTCGCAGTGAAGGAGAAAGATTAGGGAATTTGCCACAATAACTGAATGTTCCTGAAAATAGGGCCGCAATTTTCTGTCTGCCGTCACTAGCGCGTAAGACAACTTCTCCATCGAGGAATATCTAAGCTCAGCGTTATGCAAGGACTTGCTTACATAGTGAACTAGGAATTATTGAGATTCTTCTTCCCACACTAGAGCGGCACTCACCGCGGACTCAGAGCTCCCAGGTAGAGGTATAAGATTTCGTCAGGCTTAGGCTTCTGGAGTAGGGGGGATGCACTAGGGCCGCTTTGATCGCCTCAAAGGCTTCCTGGCATCTCGTAGACCACTCGAACTTCTTATCCTTCTTTATGGCCTCAAAAAAAGGTTTGCATTGGTCAGTTAGCTTCGAGACGAAACGACTCAGAGGCTCAGAGCTACCAGCCGCCCTGTCAAACTTTGAACGCCTTTTACTGAACTCGGCGATTTCAGCTCGAGGATCGCTTTGATCTTATCAGAGTTGGTCACGATCCCCCGCTGGCTGACTACATATCCAAGGAATTTCCCCGAGCTCACACCGAATGTACACTTTTTTGGGTTCAACATCATCGAATATTCGCGCAGGACGACAAACTTCTGACTGAGGTGGGTTAGGTGATCGGTCGCGAATACTGACTTGACTAACATGTCATCAACATATACCTCCATAGTTTTGTCTGGAAAATATTTTGTTCACCAGCCTTTGGTAAGTTGCGACCGTGTTTTTCAACCCAAAGGGCATCATTCGGTAGCAATATAGCCCTCTGGCCGAGTAAAAAAAAGTGTGTTCTTCGTCATCTGGGTCCACCGGGATCTGATTGTATCCTGAATATGCGTCCATGTAGCTCATCAATTCATGGTCGGATGTTGCTTTTACCATATGATCAATGTGTGGCAACGGGTAACTGTCCTTTGGGCATGCTTTGTTAAGAAGGAAAAAGTCAATGCACATACGCCATGACCCGTTAGCCTTTTTTTACCAAGACTGGGTTCGACACCCGAATAGGATATCTAACTTCACGAATGAATTGATTGTTGATGAGCTTCGTCACTTTTTCCTTCAGCGCTTGTTGGCGGTCTAGGCCTATCTTGCGCCTTTCTGCATGACTGGTTTAGCTGTCTTATCCAAATTGAGCCTGTGACACGCCACCTTTGGGTCGATTCCTATCATATCTTCGTGCGTCTAGGCGAACACGTCAGAGTTCGCCTTTAGGAATTCGGTGAGCTCGGCTCGAACAGGATCCTTCAGATGTTTGCCGATCCGCAGGGGTTTTTGGTTGGCCGGTTCGTCTACGTAGATTAATTCTACCTCGTCTCCAAGTTCAGCTCGGTTTCCCGATCTTTTTTCTTTGAACTGTTTGCGAGGATCCAGCTCGTCTTCGTCTCTCATTGGTTCCTTACCGGGTCTTCTCCCGCGATCTTGGTCCAGTTCGTCCTCGCCCACCCTCGTGTCTTTCGGCTGATCTACGATCACTCCCATCCCTTCCTGGATCTCTGCGTCCTCATGACTGACGTTTTCGCTTTCTCCCACGGCTTGGTACTGATTGTGCTGTTCGGCCAATTCGCTCCCGTCCGCTACGTGGATCTCCGTTGAGGGCCTAGCCAGGATGCATTCGCGGGCTTCCCTCTGATAGTGAATGTCGGTTCCTTCGGGCGTAGCGAACTTGATAGAATAATGGATTATCAAGACGGCTGCCTGGAGTTTGTACAACGCTGTTCTCCCCAATATTGCGTTATACTCATTCTCGTGTTTCACAACTTTAGATGTTTCGAATATCGACTTGTCGGTCAGTCCATCGCCTCCAATCTGGGTAGGTAAAGTGATTTCTCCTTCGTGGATGGTTGTCCGGCCATCAAAACCCTAAATTCGGTCGTTGCATGGACGTAGCTCTTTGATGTCTATTCCCATCTTCAGGAACCTCTTTAGGTACAGGATGTTTGCGTAGGCCCCGGTGTCCACTAGGATGCGATGGACTGGTATGAAGTAGATCGGTGCGGTGATGACCAAGGCGTCGGAGTGTGGGTTATCGAAAGGGGTAGCATCCTCGTCTGAGAAGGTGACTGGGTTAGTTTGGAAAAATGCGGCCGATCTGATCTCGGCCTTTTGAATTAAGTGCTCAGTGTTGTACGCTTGTCGGGCGTAGGATATCGCTTGTCTTCTTGACACGGTTGGGCCTCCTCGGCTTGTATTGATCAGTCGAGGAGGGGAACGCTTACTCGAACGAGATCTGTACTCTTCCGACATGTCGCGGACAGGCGTGTCATGATCGCGCTTCCTTCGTCGGGGCGAGCTCCCCTCGTCTCTGAACATTTGACTTAAGGTTAGTATTTCCCAAGGCGGGTCCCTTGCCCTTTTTAAGTTCGGCTTCACCTCTCGTTCATCTTCATTGTTCGGATATTCCTCCGCGTGGGCTCTCTTCTTGCCCTCTTTGTTTTTCGTGAACCTTTTCACCTGTGGGTTATCAATGAGCTTCAATAGTTCGGACTGCAGGTTGCGGCATTGGTTCGTGTTATGCCCGTACGACTTGTGTTAAGAGCAATATCTCGATTTATCCAATTGATCTTCGTTGGCTCTCATGGGTCTCAGTTCCAGAATGATGCCTTTGTTCTTCAGTTCTTCGTATACGGTCGCCGCTCCGGCCGAGTACATCCCCTGGTAATTGGCTTTCAGCTCTTGCTGCCATTGTTTCTGCAAGGTCCGGACCTGCGAGTTTCGAGCGTCTTCCCGAACTTCTTGCTCCTCAGATAATTGATTGCACTTGTAATAAGAAATGTGTTGGGTTCGCTCTACCGTACGGGGTAAAACGTAGCGGAAGTTAAACGAAATAAACAAGCATTTAACAATTAAATACTAAACCCCTCGGCCCACGTAGTGATTGTAACGATCGGAATTTTTTAAAATCACGTAATATTACGAATTTTGATTTGTAGAGTATTTCGAAAATTACCTCTTAATTTTCTTCAAATAGCGACGATGATGAGGAAATCAGTTCCCGGATATGTGATCACCGTCTTGTTCGTCTCGCCGTAGGGATCCACGTGTCTCCCCTCTAAGCAAGTCCACCTTTTAGATTTCGACTCTGAAATGACTTTCTTCGCTAGTAGAAAACTCCCAGTATTCAATTGGTATAAGGAATCAAAAGAGAGGAGAAAAGATTTATTTTTTTTTTATTTTTCTTTTTGTAAAAGCCGAGTAGCTCTTCTACTCTAGTGGGAGAGATTGGTTCCTTTTTGTTTGTGTGTATCACATACCCACGCACAAACCAAACACACACACATATATACATATATATATATATACATATATATATATATATATATATATATATATATATATATAAAAGGGATCAATATGAGAATGATTCTTAATGCGAGAAATAAGAATGATCGTACACCGTTGGATTCGTACTACCAATGGTCAAGATACAATCTAAATTGAATAATATGATAAAAAATATGGTGGCAGAAACGTAAATAAGTAACATTTTTGTGATCAATTCTACACCATTAAGGGCACTTCTGTCAGTTTGTCATCCACCCACTTGGTGGGATTCCCACCACTAACCAAGCCACCTATTTCTCTCCTACCCACACACACCACCAACTCTAATGATGCACGCACAGGATATCATAGACAGTCGTCTTCCTCATTTGGTCAGCTTCACTGTATCTCGCCGGCCGGCGGTGGCTGTCACTTCAGCATCGGCCGCCGTCCTCCCTTAACCCGCCGTCAGACGTCCACCAACCGCCGACGCCGTCGCGCACTCTCTTCCATACTCAGCCACGG